AACAGCATTTGTACCAGCTGATGCCAACAGCAGCTCGGACTCCTCCAGCACAGACAGCAGCCCTGTGGGGCCTGGCATTTGCTCTCTTTGCTGGCCACCTGTTCCTGAGAGCACCAGGACTCCTCTGGGTGGGTGCACAGCCACCCGTGACACCGTGTTCTTGCAATTACAGCCTGGCTGAACTTGTCTCCAGGAGTTGCTGTGCCTTGGTCCAGTGCAGAGCTGGGGGGGCTGGAGGCTGAGCTGGGGCCATCCTCGTCTCCTTGCTGGGCTATGGGGATGTGTCCAGGTGTGGAGGGAGGGATGGCAATGGCCTCTGGCTTTTGCTCAGAAGTCTGTAGCAAGAGCTGCTACTCTGCAGTGGGCTGCTCTGGAGTTGACACAGCTCCGGCATAGCACAAGGTGGCCGGCAAGAGGTGAGGAGGCAGGGGCTGCAGTATTTTGGCTTGCTGCAGGGCAGGCTGCAGAGCTGGGGTGACTTTGCCAGGGCACTGAGCATCGGTGGGAGGGCATATTGCATGGACTGTACCAACCCCAATCTGGCTGGGACAACCTTGTCTCAGCCCCTGTTCCTTGTCTTGACTTATGGTCAGATCCATGAGTGTAGCACCCAATGGAGCCAGCGATGACTGCGATGTGGTGGCAAACACCTGCATTGTGTGTGTGGCTCAAAGACAGGGCATTTCTGCCCTGCTCCTGTAGCTCAGAGTGGGCAAGATAGGCCACAAAGGAAAGGGGAAACCCCACTGACCTCTTTTCACCCCTCTGAGAATGACTCCAACCCCCATGACTCTTCCCAGCCCCTCAAGGGTCTTCAGGGGTGAGTCCCCAGGCAAAGCTCTGCATCCTGGCAGTCACAATATGGCTCAGCAGAGCCCACCCACCAGCAGCGCCCCACTCCCTGTAATTGGGGGACAGAGCCCGGGACAGGGAGATTTACTGGATGCCTAACAGGATTAGCAACTGCGGGCGGGCAGGCAGCAATGTAATAGGATTGCAATCTAATTAAACCTGCTGCTTGGGAGCTGGGCCCCAGCTGGCTGGAGCAGGGTGCGCTTGGCGGTTGCGGGGGTGGCTGGAGAGGACGGTGGGCATGGAGGTGTGCTGGGCAGGAGCCCTGGTTTCTGGGCAAGGGGGCAGGGGGACCTTCACCTCCCACCCTCCTCCCACCAAGAGCTCACTCTCCAGCCCTTTTTCTGCCACACAAAATGCTCTGTCTGGTCCAGCCAGGCAGCTGATTAAGGATTAATTTTTTAATTAAAAATATTACTCACTTCACCAAGTCCAATTGTATCCCCCGCAGCAGTAGCAGCCCCCAGAGAATGAGGAGCTTAGCTTTAGATTTCACATCACAGCACGCTGGAATGCAGTGCACACTAAACATGGGGCTCACACCATTCTGGTGTGCAGAGCAACCTGGTGGGTGCTCCTGCACAAGTGCACCCCAATTTCATGGAGATGTCAGTGCAGCTCCCTTACCCCTCCCACATTCCCCGGCTCACTGCTGTAGGGCTGAAGTGCAAGCCCCCTGCTTGCCAAGTCTGTGTAGACCCTAGAATAACAGAGCCTAGCGAGTATGCAGTGGGATGCATGTTCTTTGCAAGCAGCTGCGCAGCCCCTGGCCTGCCCCATGGCAGACACCATGGGGTGGCACATGCAGGTCTGGACCCCCGAGGGGCTCTGGCAGAGGCAGGCAGGGGTTTTAGCTGGAAGAGCTGCCCAGGGGAGCTGCACACCGGCTCTGCCGGACTCTGCTTCTCCAGGCTGCTGGGATGGCTCTGTGCTCCCTCTTTTTAATTAAACCTGTGACTGCATTTTTCATCTCAAGGACAGGCCAAGCAGCCAACAGTGCTGCCAAGGAGGGAGCTTGGCCAAGCAGCACTGGAGGGGATCCAGGCACTCTCTGCCAGCCCAGCTTGTCCCCCTGGGGTCTGTAGGTTTCCCGCTGAAAGCTGGGAATCCCCCACCCCAATTCACCCCCAGCCCCAGCAGGGCAGAAACCCTTCCCTTCTCAGGAGGCTGGCACAGCTCGGGGCAGGGAGGAACATTGCAGTGTGGTGCAATCATAGGACATGCAGTCTTGCAGGACTGAAGGGTTTTTGCTTGGTGGTTCTGGCACCAAGCATGGAGAAGCCATTCTCCACTGCCAGACACCCACTGACTGGGAGCGTGCTGGGACACCCCGTGGGGGACCCTGCATCCTCTCAGCCACCCCCTGTGGGGGTCAAGAACACTAGCCTGTCCATCCCTGTGGGCCTGGGTGAGCTTTGCTGGTGTGCTCCCCATGGTTTGCAGCCTCGGACCCATGGGGTGCACTTGGAATGAAGACTGGATCCCTGCTCAGAGTTGGGGTCTCTGTAACTCCCACCCCCACAGTGCAAATAGCCTTTTTGATCCTCCATCCCTGCCTCTGCCAGGCACAGCAACCACGTAACCATAGCAACAGTGTCCCCATAACAACCAGGTATATCTGACATTCCCATGGCAACCGACTCCCTGAACAGCCGGTGAAAAGCTCCGCTTCCTCCGTGCTGTGGAGGGATGGGGGAGTTTGGGCCCCACCAGGGCAGGTGGCTGCAGGGACGTGGGGACAGCCACAGCTGGAAAGGGCTTTGACCAGGTGTTTGGGACAGCACAAACCTTGGTGGCCTCTGTCCTGCCAGGGAGGCTGCAGGGGACAGAGGTGATGCAGGAGAAGGAGATGGCCCTGGGGACAGCATTGGTCCAGCTCAGCCTCCTGCATCCCAGCCCTGCTATCGGGTCAGCATTCCCGGCTCTAACACATGCTCCCTGGAAATGTGTATCCCAAAATCTGGAACTCTGCTTCCTCCCACAGCCTCCTCCCACCCCAAACTCTGTTTGAAGGGATGCTCTTTCCACTGCCTGCCCTTCCTGCAGGGCTTCCGGGCCCTCTGGCCACCTCTGCCCACGTCTGCTGGGCCAGACAGCAGCCCCCACGCAGTCTGTCATTGCAGACGGCAATTGCACGTCATGCAACTTTAATGTGTCAGGCCTGAATTATTGAACCCTGCAGCGGGCTGTGCACACACAGGCAGGACCCATCATCCCCCCTCCTCTCCCTGGCCCGGTGTGCCCGAGCGGGCAGCCATGGGTGGGGACTGGTGAGAGGTCCCATCCTTCGGGATCTCTCTGGGTGGGTGCCCCTCACTACCCAAGGTGTGCGTGGCAGAGTGGTGGTTGGTGCCACAAGCTCAGTTGCTTGGGGATTGGTGGTCCCTGTGCAATGAGACCCCAGCAATGGCATTATCTCTGCAGGGTGCAGGGACAGGTATGAAGGGAGGGATATGCAATCTTGCTCTGTCCCCACTGCTGCCCTGGGAGATTCTTGCCCCTCTCCCACTTGGTCTGCTGTTGGTCCCCAGCAAGACAATGCCTTTCCACTACACTCACCGTAAATCCCTCTGTGAGTGCAGCTGGAGCTTGCTCCTTGGCCGGGCATGGCTGTCACCATGCCGCTCTGGGGATGATGAAAGGCTAGGAGAATGGCCTGGCTGCTCTTTTCTTTTGCAATTTGCCCGGCGCACCCTGCAGCCACTCGATGATTTTCTCATCAGAGCGCCGAGCCTCGACCTCCCTCCCCGCTCAGACCCATCCATCACCCATGGTTGGCACTGCCGCACACATCACCGGCACTGGAGCCGCCTGGCCTGCTCTGTCCTTGGCAGTCCCTCAGCCCTGCAGACAGTGGCCCTGCCATGGCAAGCCTGGGGGAGGCAGCTCTGAGCAGGCAAAGGGACCCCATTTTCCCTGGAGCAACCCACACAGAGCCTGCTTGCTCATCCCTCTTTCTTCCCTATCCCCTAGCCCTGTGTCTCACCCTCCTGCTGCCATGCCCAGTTCTCATCCCACATCAAGGACACCTCTATTGCTCCAGGGCAATACCACAAAATGGCTACCTGTCCCATGCAACCACAACAGAGCCCAGTGTGACAAAGCCAGCCCAGAACAGGGACAAGGGGCTTGTAGATGTAACCGGGGCATCAGGAACCAGCATTGCCCCAGCAGCAGCCTGCGCCACAGCACCTGGAGGTGCAAGAAAGCAGCAGGGTGGCAAGGGCATGCCTGGTTTTGCATGAAGGTGCAGAGGCCATGGAAATGAGGGACAAATGGCTCAGTCCCATGGGGACTGGAGCATCGCATGGGGGCTGTGTCAAGGAACAAACATCAGCTGCCACAGTTGCATGGCTGGAGAGAGAAGGGGGACATTGTGGCATGGGAGGCCAGGCAAATGTGGTGGTGATGCAAAGCATCACGATTTTTAGCCACTGGTAATGGAGTTTCTTGGGGCGGCTGGTGGGGGAACATGCGGTGGGGCTGGACTTGGGACTTTATCTGTGGCAATTTAGAAAAGGGCTGTTGAAGAGCTGCTCTGCCAAGCAGAAAAGCCGCTTGAGCCGTGCTTAACTTCATCAAGGAATCTGCGTAGAAATCAGGGAGCTTGCTAAAAGAAATTAATAGA